CTGGTCCTTTAATGTAGAAGCAGCTAAATCTTGTATTTTCCTGACTGTGGCTCCACTGTACCTGAATTGCTTCTTTCTGACTGCTTGCAATATTTTCTCTTTGACATAGGAACTCTAGAATTTTGCTATAATATTCCTGGGAGTTTTTATTTTGGGATCTCTTTCAGGAAGTGATCGATGGATTCTTTCAATTTCTATTTTAACCTCTGGTTCTAGAATATCAAGGCAGTTTTCCTTGATAATTTCTTGAAAGATCATGTTCAGGCTCTTTTTTGGCTTTCAGGTAACACAGTAATTTTTAAATTACCTTTCCTGGATCTAGTTTCCATGTCAGTTGTTTTTCCAATGAGATATTTCACATTGTCTTCTATTTTTCATTCTTTTGTTTTTATTTTATTGTTTCTTGATTTCTCATAAAGTCATTAGCTTCCATTTGCTCCATTCTAATTTTTAGGGAATTATTTTCTTCAGTGAGCTTTTGGACCTCCTTTTCCATTTGGCCAATTCTGCTTTTTAAGGGATTCTTCTCTTTGTTGGCTTTTTGGACTCTTTTTACTATTTAGCCTTGTTTGTTTTTTAAGGTGTTATTTTCTTCAGTATATTTTTGTGTCTCCTTTACCAAACTGTTGACTCATTTTTCATGATTTTCTTGCATCACTCTCATTTTTCATCCCAATTTTCCCTCTGCCTCTCTTACTTGATTTTCAAAATCCTTTCTGAGCTCTTCCATGGCCTGAGACTGGTTCATATTTCTCTTGGAGACTTTGAATACAGGAGCTTTGACTTTGTTGTCTTCTTCTGAGTGTGTATTTCGATCTTCCTTGTCACCAAAGTAAATTTCTGTAGCTAGAGTTTTTTTTTCCCATTGTTTGCTCATTTCCCCAGTCTATTACTTGACTTTTAAGTCTCTGTTAAAGTAGGGCTCTGCTTCCAGGGTGGAGCACTGCCAGGGAGCATTGTCCCAAGTTTCAGATGTTTTGTGCAGCTGTTTCCAGAGATATGTCTAGGGGTTGTAAGTTTTCAGTTCTTCTAAGGTGGTATGACCTAAGGAGAAGTATTTACTACTTTTCTTTGCTACTCTGCTACTTCCTGTGCTCTGGTCTGTGAGCAACCATAAACTCTTTCCTGCCCTGGAACTGTGAGGAGGGTTCCCCCTCTACTGTGGCTGCAAGCTCTGCTATGCTAGTGCTCCTCTTTACCCTGGAACTACAACCTAGAAGCCAGATCTGAGTATGGGCAAAGCGCCAGAGTCCTGCATCAGACCCTGGTAATCTCTTTCTGACCAGTTGTTCTACTCTCTTACTGTCTGTGCTGCCCCTGCTGAACCAGTCACTCCTACGGCCTGCTCCTGGTTTGCTGGGGCCAGGGCTGTGCTGGCACAGCCTGTGCTGGACTGTGCTCCATTCTCACTCAGGGCAACAGACCCTTCCCGTCAACCTTCTAAGTTGTCTTTGGCATTTGTGGGCTGAAAGTTCTGGAAACCAGCAGTGTTGCCACTGGTTCAGTCACCCCATGGCCTGCTCTGGGTTTGTTGGGGTCCAGTCTGCACTGGTGCAACCTGTACTGGACTGGGCTTCCCTCTTACCCTGGTCCAACAAACTTTTCCTACCAACCTTCCAAGTTGTCTTGGGTTGGAAATTTGTTTCACTCCATCTTTTTGTGGGTTTTGCTGCTTCAGACTTTGTTTATAGTCATTTTTTAAAGGTATTTGGAGGATTTTGGAGGAGAGCTCAGGTGAGTCACTGTCTTTACTCCACCATCTTGGCTCTGCCTAAAAGGAATTTCAAAGTCAGCACAGACAAGTAGGACAGTTTTGAAAGTATCAGGTTGAATTTATTATATGCTTAAAAAAACAAACAAAGAACATAAGAGATATGTATGGAATAGAAATGTGTGGTTTCACATACAATTTCTTTTTGTGTTATACTTGTGTTTATACTTCTTTTTGTGTTAAATGATGTAGAAACATCATTTTTTTTGGTGTTTGTGAAATTCAGAATTGTATATATCTGCATATATATTCTCTTTATTTTCTTCACAGGATAAAAGTTACAATAATTTCATTGAGAGAGAGAGAAAATATCTCTACCTCTCTTCTTTTCACATCACTTTCCAGATGTGACAGGAAAAAAGCATCTTCAATTTCTCTCAAGCAAGCCCTGCATCTTAATAGACTCTCACTATATAGTATGTTTGCATATTTATACACACATATGTATATATGTATGTATGTGTGTGTAATCCCATCCCTATTTCAAAAGCCTTTCCTACAGGGGTTATAAAAATGTTACTGTAGCTTTAAGAAGGAAAGATGCTCACAGTTACAATTAAACCTGTCATTCTATGAGGTACTTCTCCATAAGGAGTGTAGGAGACTTATGTGCATATAAATTTAACTTTGCTATATGAAGATCTATGATATAAACTGTAGAGAAGACAGAAAGAAGGTAAAGAGAGACCTCTTTTTTGTTAGACCTGTATCAACTTATTTTTATAAAGAAACACATTATAAAGACTTTTATGAGGTGGGAGTCTATTAAGAGTCAGGGCTCAAGAGACATTGAAGATGCTGTTTTCCTGTCACATCTGGAGAGTGACATGAAGAGGACAGGGGTAGAGATATTCTCTCTTTTTTAAAAAAAAGTGAAATTATTATTCATTTTTATCTTGTGAAGAAAAGAAAGAGAATTCTTCCAAAAAGAATTTGTTATCCCAAGTAAACTAAACATCATGGGACTATTTTCACAATGGAAGAGAAGTCATCTACTCTTCTTGTGTCTCTTTTAGGTGACTGTGACTATGATCATTCACACAGCAATTTTGTAAATAATTATTTTTGTCTTATGATTGATTTCATTGTTAATAAACTGTGTAGTCATGCCTTGACCACACAATTACTCTCAGCCTCTTTAGGTCCAATGTCTACTTTTCAATTTGTCATTCCACCTTTTTTTTTTTAAAGGTAATTTGAGTAGCTTTCTTCAGAACCTTTAGTGTTGGCCATCTGTGATTCTCAGTAACACTGCAAAAAAGAGGTGTCAAACACTCCCAAATGTGGCTGAACCAGATTAAAATGTATTGGGAAATATTTAGTAAAATAAATGAAAATACACTACAACATAGTTAATGTTGATTTGTGGTTTTCTAAGTCAATATGTGGCCCTGCAGAGATTTGTTTTTATTTGAATTTGACACCACTGCCAAGACCATTAGTTGTTAATAGATGCCTACTGTGTCCACTTGATGACCCTCTTTTTTCCCTCCTCCCAATCCCAGTCATCAGTTCTGTTATTTGGGTTCTCTGTGTTCCCCATAGGATGTAGCATGGAGCTAGGAAGCTGTTTGCTGCTTAGTAGATTTTTTAAATGAATAAATGAAAGGATGGCACTCACTCAGATGCATCAGCTAGTCAAAAAGTCAAAAAGCATTTACTAAGCACTTACTATATGCCATGTACTATGCTGAGCTAGTCTTTAATGAACCAGAGCTATGGTTGCTTTCCCATCAAGGACAACATGTATTTTGTTTGGTTTCTCCATCTTTAGGCAGACCTTCCTATTTAAGCTCTTTTTCTTTGTCCTCATGCTGCTGCTGTGATATCCAGTCTCCTCATCCACTCTCCTCCCTAACCCCATGTCCTATCTGGGCTTACTGTCCCCTGCTTTATTTATCACAACACCTCTTTCCATCAACTCTTACCTGTCCTAGATTTCTTCCCCTTAAGGTCCTGCTTTGTGCTTTCTCTGTTGACCTGTTAAATTAATCTTTGCTAAGGTGTTAATTATTTATTTATTTACTGATTTATGTATTTATTTGAGCAAATTCAATTCACAAAACGCTACTACAAGGCCTTGTGAGATTCAAAGTTAGATAAGATGCTTGCCTTCATGGAGCTTACAATCTAGAAGGTAAGATAAGATATGAATATACATGACTATGATACAAAATAGAATATGATAGTTCATTAGATATTTAATAACAAAATACCAGCAGCAAAGTTCAAAGACTGAGGAGATAATTTTGCCTGGCAACATCAAGGAAGCTATCATGGTAGGGAGAATGTTTGAACTGATTCTCAAAGTATGACTAGGATTTTACCTTAATGTGTTACCCTTCTTTAGAACATTTTAATTTTTGCCAGGTATCAAAACTTTTGCCCAAAGGAATCAACATCTAATGGTATGAATTTTAATCACAGTGGCCGGTCAGTGAAGGAAGTGTTTTTGATCAGGGGCAACTTTCATCAGTGGTCATTAAGGCACATTATGCATGATTATTTGTTATTTATTATTAATTGCTATCTTTTTTTATTAATTTAAGGCCAGTCCTACTTTTTTTTTTTTTTTTGCTTTTTAGAGAGGCAATTGGGGTTAATTGACTTGCCCAGGGTCACACAGCTAGTAAGTGTCAAGTGTCTGAGGCCAGATTTGAACTCAGGTCCTCCTGACTCCAAGGCTGGAGCTCTATCCACTGTGCCACCTAGCTGCCCCCATTCTACTTCTATCATTCATAAGGATGTCAATAAAAATTTAAAACACAAAGATACCTACTAGGAAAAAGATTCATTATTTGACAAAAACTGCTGGGAAAAATGGATAATAGTATGGAAGAAATTAGATTTAGACCAACACCTAGCACCTTATGCAAAATAAGATATGCAAAGGCAGCTAGGCCGTTCAATTCTGGCCTCAGACACTGACTAGCTGTGTGACTCTGGGCAAATCATTTTACCTCTGTCTTCCTCAGTTTCCTCAGCTGTAAAGTGGATCAGATGAAGTGACTTGTTCAAGCCATAGAACTAGTCCAGTGGCAGAGTAGGATTGGCAGTTGGGTCTTTCAGATATTACTCTGAAAAATGAAGAGATTGGATTAAATGATGCTAACATCCCTTTCTACCTGTGGATCCTTTGATCCTGCATCACCAATAGAATTGTGGAAAGAATCAGATAAGATTATGGGTGGAAAAGTTCATTGAAAAGTATAATAGCCTGACACATATCTTGGGATGGGATTGTTTATTCTAGGCTACTTGCCATCAATGATACTCTGGCTAGGGACAGCTCTCTGAGCTTTCTTCTACTCTGATTCCCAGCTCTGGGTTCCTTCCTCTCTATCACAGTGCTTGGGTCCAATCAACTAGGATAGGTTTATGGGTAGTAGAGGAGATGATAAAGACTCCTGAGGAACCTGACAGGGAATATTTCCCTGAAGGCACCCCAATATGAGTTGCCAACCACCCAAGGGGTCTGCGACTCCATCTTCAGCACTGATTTTTGATGCTGCTCATATTTCCTCTGAATGGCCATCAGACTTTCTAGGGTAGAGCAGGTCTGATCTGACTCCTTTGATGCTATATTCTCTTTACAGAAAGTTCCCTTAGAACCCTGCCGCTGGCCTATTGGCTCTTCTCCCAGCTCCTCTCTTAACTGTTGAATATTTTCCTGGATATAGTCATACACCTCATTCGAGTAGCAGCCTAAGTTATTTTTCCAGACTACCCCTTCTATCATCTCCATCAGTTCCTTTAGTTGGACCTCGTGTCCCTCCCCTTCAATTTTGTTGTTGAAACCACAGTGAAATCCTTCACACACCACATGCAGCCAGGTCAAACTTTTGTTCCCTGTTTCTTGTAAGTATTCCTTTAGGGTTTCCTTCCCTAAGTCTTCTTTCCTGGTGAAGACAAGGATGGTGTGAGCCAGGATCTCTGCTCCAAAGATCTCCTGGATGCGCCTGAGGACCTCCTTGTTCTCGTTGGTGTAACAGCCCAACTGCATCACCAGGAGCAGGGCATGAGGCCCTGGGGAAGAGAGGGCCATACAGCGACAGATCTCTAGATCTTCATTTATTTGGGCACTGGAGGAAAAGATATCTGGTGTGTCAATGACAACAATTCTCCTTCCATGCCATTCCCTGCTCTCTCTTTGGCAGCTCTCAGTCACTGGCCTGGGACTGAGCTTTGACTTGAAGGCTTTCTTGCCAAGGATGCTATTTCCAGTTGCACTCTTCCCACTTCCTGTCTTCCCTACGAGGATGAGCCTCAGCTCTCTTGGCATTACTGGGCCTGGAAAGTACCAACATGAAAATGAGAGGGTCAGAATTCTGAAGGACATAAACATCTGTTTCCTCTGTTGCCTTTGGCCAACTCATATTGAAAAACAAAAGCCAAGCAGCTGTCATTGTTCTGCTTTATAGCTGGACCATGGGAAGGAAGTCAAAGGGGCTTTTCCTACCCCCTTCACCCCTGTGCTACTCCCTATCCAGCTTACATATGAATGTTGAGTCCCAGTTGGGAGAGGAAGAGAGTGAGTTTGAGGCAAGTATTGGAGAGAGAGAGAAAGAGAGAGAGAGAGAGAGAGAGAGAGAGAGAGAGAGAGAGAGAGAGACTTTTGCTGACTGAAGAGTTGCTTTTTGACAAGTAAACAAAATTCTATTAACTACCTCATTTCCAGGTCAGATTTCCTCATGTTGTATCCTGGCTGCCTAGATTTTTGCTATAGGCAAGCTTGCCTTCTCTACATAATACTCCAGTTTTCTGATCTATCCTCTCCCTGCTTCCTTACTTATTTGTGCTGTGTTTCATCTCATTTTGGCCAAACTCTTTCTTTTGGCCTGCCTCTTTCCCTATCCCTCACTCCATCTCACCCTTCCCATTCCTTATGTTTTACTGAGAAATCCAGTAGGGATGTGAGCATACCTCCCTGCATTTACACTCCCCAACTCAACTCAATCAGGAATTTCATTATCAACAACTGTTCCCCTTTAATGTTGACAAGATACTCTTCTCATAACAACATTATGATGTATACAAAGTCTATATTAGTGTCTTCATTTTACAGGTGGGGAAACTGAGGCACAGAGCCCTTAAGTGATTTGCCTGAAATCATACAGCTAGTAAGTATCAGAGCAAGACTCTGATAGGCCTTTTGACTACAATAGCAATACTTTCCCCACAATATCATGCTACTTCTCAACTTTTCCCTTTTTGTTCCCTTTCCCTTCCCCCTCCCCCATTTCAAGTGATCTCAAGGGTCTGGGGGAGAATGCAAATGAAAAGCAGATTCTCCTCCCCCAAAGCCTTGAGTTTGTTGTTGTTTCATTGTTTCAGTCGTGTCAGACTCTTCATAACCCCGTTAGGAGCTTTCTTGGCAAAGATGCTGGAGTGGTTTTTGCCATTTCCTTTTCCAGCTCATTTTACAGGCAAGGAAACTGAGGCAAAAAGAGTTAATCAACTTGCCCAGAGTCACTCCACTACTAAGTCCAAAGCCTTGGGATCTCTGGCTTAATGTGTTGTCCAATCGCAGTGTGTTTCTAACCCAATGAAGGTTCAATATTGTTGGAATTTCAGGCACTGTGCAAGGCAGGTGAGGGATAGATTTGAGGGTGAAGGGAAACCTTCCTCATACCCTGAAATCATACCATCTAGGCAGCCACCTTCTTAGTCTTTATATAAGGCCAGCTTCAACTGTTCACAGGCACAGTTGGTACTGCTCTCCTTTAGAGAAAAGCCTTTATTATCAACAATTCTCACCATTCCCTTGAGCTGCCTGATCAGCAAAAACTTCAGTGTCGCCACAGGGCTCTCCATTTCCTCTTCTCTCTTCCATCTGAAGAAAGAAGCAGACATGAAACTGAAATTAATTTTTATCCTGAGGTCCAAGGTTCAAAATACACTGATTTTTTCTTTCCAGAAGTGTTGTATTTGGCAAGTTTTTGATAGTCTATATAGCTGAATGAGAGGAGGTAAGGGAGACTTGTCAAATAGGACCCTGCATCTATTTTAGAAAACAAGAGAGATTCCATTTCTCATTTCTAGCTCTATTCTTTCAGAATCTGAAGAGCTGAATGGAAGGGGTAGGACATGGGTTGGGTCCAGACGGATGGCTAGGATTTGGAGAAGGAGAGGAGAGGAGATAAACATCTTCAGAGAGGGAGAGGAAAACAGTATGCGCAGGAATGAGTCAGCTGAATATGAGGAAACAATGAGGAGATAGATCAAGGCAGATATGAGATTGTGTATTGGGACCAATAGGCAATAAGATTGGATAAATAATACAAATATTCATCAAGCTGAGATTCACCAAGATTTTCTTTGCAACAAGCCTATGAGGTCTGTAGTGGAAATATAACTGTGCCATTTTATAGATCATAGGTTTGTAGGGTTGAGGGAACTTCACAGATCATCCAGTACAACCTCCTCATTTTATAGACAAAGAAAACTGATTTCCAGAGAAGTCAAACAACATGCCTAATGTTGCCCAGGTAGTTAATAGCAAAGCCAGGATTTAAACTCAAGTTTAAAATGCTGTTTCCTTTCCTCTCCAGCCTTTCCAATTCATATATTTTTTCATTAACACTGCTACTTTGAAAATATTTCAATAGGATATGCCAAATAATCCCCAGTCCCCTTGATAACCTTTACATAATTCTCAGGGATATATGAATGCCTGGTGCAGAAGGTAATACTTGAGCTGTGTTTTTAAGGAAGAGAGGGATAGCCAGCGCAAAGGTACAGAGTGAGATAATAGATGTTCAATGCTTTGTAAAGTTTAAAGTCAAGATTTTTAAGTGCCATTTGTGAAGTGTCTGCCTTTCTTCTCCCACTGCCATTGATACTGCTGTCAGAAAGTGTTATTGCTCTTTTTACAGGGAGACATCCTCCTCCCCAAACCCTCCCAACAACATACCCTCAGATAGTCAACACATTTGAATCTCTGTTGGCTTCCACCAAGCTGGCACTCTATGGGATGCCAAGTGCTTTGAGAATGTTGATTTATATCTCCCCACAGAAAGCTCTCCAGCCCCTACTCTCCATTGAATTAGGGTGACTGGATTCCACTCTTTTGTTCCCTTGCCTCATGATGCTGGCAGCCTTCTACCTACATAGAAAGATCAATGCCTTCTATTATATTTCTTTGAGGCTGAGAATATACCCCAATACCATATTTCTCTTAATCTTTTTAGCTCTTGTCATGTCTTGGACACGAAGCCACTGCAAATTTTCAATATCAACATTCTCCAAGAAATGGCCCCAGGTTCAAGTTTCTCTATGGGCCACATTCCCTATACTTAGGATCCCCACCAATGTGTTTACTCTTGGTGGTCAGCCAGAGGATATAATTAGTTTGGAGAAAAGGCATTTAATGAAATGGTATAAATAAAAAATATATATATGGTAGCAAAAAAGTTTCTCCCATCATCTTGGGTCATACTCTTTGACAAACTGACATAGCACCAGTGAGAAGGGTGGATGTATACAGGGTATATCCCTGCTGGGTAAGGAGCATTATGTGGAGGGGCAACTCATTCCTCTGACACTGCAGGCCCACTGCCTTCTAGTGATATCATTGTGCTGCTCCTGCTTAGCCTGTTGCTTGCTGGTTCTATAGACTCTGCTGCCTCCAGTTTCAGTCTCAACTCAAATCCTTGGCTATTTCTTCCTTAAGGGAAAAGCAGATGCCTCCATTCTCTTTTGACTTAAAGCCTCTTCCTGGTTCTTTTATTTTTATTATTATTATTTTTTGGCTAGGCAATGGGGTTAAGTGACTTGCCCAGGGTCACACAGCTGTGTCAAGTGTCTAAGGTGGATTTGAACTCAGGTCCTCCTGACTTCCAGGGCCAGTGCTCTATCCACTTTGCCACCTAGCTGTCCCCTTCCTAGTTCTTTTTCTTTCTTTCTTTCTTCCTTCCTTCCTTCCTTCCTTCCTTCCTTCCTTC